ATAATAATTATATTATATTATATTTATTGTTTACTATCATTGTAACTATTTAACTCATATATATTAGAAACAAAGCCCTAAGAAGTCGATAATGATGCACATCGCATTTTCAGCGGAGGACATTTTGACCGCTTATATCTTTGAAAGCTTCTAGCCATAGAATCAAGTTGTGCTCATTGATTCAGAATGACGAGAACTCTAACATATCAAAAATTCAATCAATTCGACCGAAAGCACTTTCATATAATTTATGTTAGTAGGGCTCTTTATCAATATAATTTAATTATTCGCAATGACCATTAAAATATCACGGAAATATTATATAATATTACAGTAATATTTATGTAATTTATTTTCGCGAATATTGTAATATTACTGTGATCAGTGTCTCAGTAATATTTATGTAATATTATTGCATTGTAATATTGCAATATGAAAAATAATATTACGAAATATTATTGTAATGTTACGTGTGGATAATGACGTGAAATTTTAAGCATAGGTTAGAAACAGTCCTACCAATCTAAAAAAATAAATGTTTCTTTGATAATGTTTAAATGAGTCAATCCTTTTTGCTGATATTTTTTGATCACATGATGAATTCCTTTTCATGCATGATGCGCATTTTATCCTTGATAATTATCGAATATTAAAAAAAGATAAAATAATACATCATGCATATCCTTGCGTGAAACGGAACGCACTCATAATGCATTCTATCATGTTAATATCAATATAATCTCTTTTTTTTTACAGCAAATCTTCACGTATCCAACCATTAGCTCGATGTCTGGAGTAATTTCGCCGACTAACTTATCTCTATTCTCGTCTCCTGTTTCGGTAACGAGACCGGTAGCAACACAAAGATCGGTCACTAATATTCCACCACGTTGGAATACTGCGCCATTCATCAATTTGGAAGACGATTATAACATGATTGCACCGATCATCACTGGAACAAGCAGTGAGCCATCAGCCACTATAGAAGAAGGTGAAGCTAAATTTTGTGTCTTGATCATTGAATAGCAATATTGTGTTTCTTCTTTTTGCATAAAAAAAATATATTTAAAGCTTAATAATATAATTATCTGCTTATAATTGATTACCAGTATAATTACTAGGGAATGAAAGTAATTCATTACTTGTAACGAAGTTATAGTTACTTTTTTGGTAATTTACTGATAACTGCGTTACTTTTTTTTTTAATTGTAACAATAACATAGTTACATATTTTTTGTAACAGTAATGAATTTTACAGTTACTTTAATCATTACTTTTTGTACTTATTTATGACTAATTTTCGTTTATTTAATCTTGAATTTTTAGATAGTAATTCATTCTAATTTCAAGACTATTTTAATCTTAAGATGTTAATACGCCTCTGTGATTAATTTATTTATTAAATTTAAGATAACTTATTGTTTTTTAAATAAAGATATTTTAAGGGGATATACTAGAGTGATGACCGAACTTGATCAATGTCGATGTAGTACCGATTTTTTTAATTTCAAATAAAAAAAGTCGATAATAGTGACATCTTTAATTTATTTCTGACATTATTGTTCTGTCTCACTCAACGCATCTGTCCTTATCTAACATATTGCAATGCTATCTCTTGCAAAATCGAACACCTACTACTAGACACAGTTACTGCTTTGTTTATATCAGTCTTCAGTTTTTTATTTTAATTTTATACAGTATATAAAACGCTGAGTACTGAATCATGATGGAAAAAATAATGGTGTATAGTTGGACAGTGTTGTCTTTTTCTAAATCTTTGCCTCCTCTCTGTTTATGAACTATTCATGAGGAAGCTACCAACTATGAAATTATGGAACAGTAGTCACAGTCCATTTTTATTTAAAAAATTTCTTAAATATTAATTTTCACACAACACAAAGTTCCATTTAAGTTCCTAAGAAGTTCATAATGCTGACCTCTTGGCAAGCTTACAAGATTCGATTAAATAAGCTTCTAGGAAGTTCATTTTGATGAGCTGGTATAGCTATAAAATTTTTATAGAATAAAAATTAAATTTTTAATATTGGTCATTGGCTGCGTTCAGCAGAATATTTATTTTGCATTTGCGAGAAGTTTTCTTTCCAATGGATGCATCCAGATGCGCAACTGTTCACTGGCTAAGTAGATGATTGAAGATGATTAGTTGAATTTTAAGTGTTACGTCCAAGCCCCAGGATTCTTTGTCTTGAGCGAAAGAAGGAATTAGGAGTGGAGGGGGCTAGGAAAGAACGCAACAGACTCCACTCTTGTGATTATCAGAAGGCGCGTGCCACAAGTCGGAAGCACTTTGGATTCCAGATGTGGGTCAACGTCGATACGCGACGCTATTACCCTATCTGTGCATCCATCGGCCTTCTTTAAATCAAGAAACTTAATTCCTTTGACCAAGAACAAAGCCAGTACGATCTTTGGGAAGATGGAATGAATCGGAAGGGCGTCGAAATAAATGACAATCACTGTCTTATTATTTTTACAAAAGATAATTGGTTACATTTATTTAGAGATATATGATATATATATA